CCTAATATTTCTTATGTGTGATTATTGCATGTGTGGAAATTTGTCTTTAGTTTTTTAATGTTCATTGGCATATGTTAATAGCAAATAGTGTCTGTAATGAAGTAGCTTGTTCATGGATCTTTAGGTAACAATATTGAAGATCATCTGGGTAAAATTATGTTGTAGAATAGATATGGGACCATTGGAAATACTGCTTTGAGAAATAAAATGAACTGATGTAGTTAGAGGAGCATTGCTCTTTGTGATAGGTGGCAAAAGCGATGGAAGGGCTGAGCTTCTTCTTTTAGTAACCTGGACATGGAAAGCAGATTTATTTTTTCACAGAGTTGATTTTTCAGGTTCAGTTTTTCACTGTAGTTGCAGTGTTTTGCATTGAATTGTAAGGATTGCCACAATTGTATCTTAGTCCTAGTCCAGAGGCTGACTGCCTACTAACAGATGAGTTTGTTCCTAACTCTGATACTGTCTTCTAGTATGTTCATTAAGTTTGTAGCGGGTAGCACTGTTTGCAGTGTGGTGCTTCTTCCCCTTGCTAAACAGCTTTGGTGTGCAGTGACAGTGCCTAGCTATTTTTACTTCAATGTTGGGCTAGCAGTAGTCCTTGTGCTTTTCAAGCCTTTAAGTAACAAAGCTATAGGACTATAGTGTCCAAATGTCTTTTTATGTAGAAAGAATTTCCTATTTTTGGAAATACATCAGTTTTCTTTAAGGTAGATACTACTTCCACATCTTTGCTGTACCTAGTTAGAAGCATTTGACAAACTGATAAATCATCTATTTTCAGGATGACAGGCATTTTTTGGTGTGTATGTAGTTCATAACTGTGTTGGTCCCCTGATCAGTCTGTATGCAAGAATACCGCAGTTTATTAGGAATGTCCTTGTGTGAGAATCAGCTTATGAACAAGCCAGCTGTATTTGCCTTGGGGCTTTCAAAGTAGGATCAAAGATATCAGGTAATTGCCCAATAAAGTAGATCTCTTAGCTTTGATGCGCTTGGGGGAAGCGAGGCTTCCACTTACCGTGGTGCAGAAACTGGACTGGGAATTGTCCAGAGATTTGTAATTGTGACAGACTGAAGATGAATGACAGTAGTTTGTCTTGAGGTTTGCCGTCTCCATCAGTTAGCATATATTTTTTTTTGCTTCTCTGTAATGGGAGGTAGGCTCAGCACAGTTCTAGTTTCAGCAGTGTTTATTCTGTAGCTCTGCATACTAAATCAGCCTGTAGAATCCAAGAAGATTTTGTTGATTAGCATTAATAGCATTTCTCTTCCTTAGCTTGATGCTCAAGCTCTTAGGTGTTACTAGACAAAGGGATATGGTAAATGATGTGTGCATTGGTTACACTTCTTACACTCTGCAAAATGTGATTGTAAGCTCAGTGTGTGCAATTCTGAGGATGAAAGATGTTTTTAGTAACCTGGACATGAAAACAGATTTATTTTCTCAGAAAGAGTTGATTTTCAGGTTCAGTTTTTCACTGTAGTTTGCAGTACCTTGCATTGAATTGTAATTCTCAAGGCTAACCATGCTTTGACTCATTGGATTGAATGTAATAGATGTACCTGCTCAGTAGTTATCAGCTGCCTTTAGGTAGATATTCCAAATGCCGTCTAGTTGTATTTTCACAGTCAAGACCTTTTGCTTGGATTCTGTGCAGAAGGAACAACAGTGCTATTATTGAGGTGAGAATATGCAGAAACATGTTGGGCTAATGGGAAAGGATGACTGAGGGAGCTGAAATTGAGAATGGTATCCTGACAGATGGTGCAGAAGCTGCTGCTTGTGATGCTGTATGGTGACGGAGAGTTGACCAAGGAGAATAGAAAAATTTTTGTATTTTTGTTAATGTTAGTGTAAATATGGAAAAAAAGGGTTATTCCTGTCTGCATAAGCATGTTCGTTGTATCAAAACTCAAACCTGAGTGTTGTTGTACCGTAGTACACATTGTTCATGGAGTTCTGATGTCTGTTCAGACTTGGCCAGTCGCTGCATCTTCCCTCATTTCCAACATCCTGCTTACTCATCTAAACAAGAACTTAAGTCAAACCCTGGCTTGATCTTCTTTGGAGTTGTACGTTTTGAGCACATCTGTAGACTTTCAACCAGAGGAAACATTACAGTCATCTGCTCTGACCTCTTACATAAGCTGGGCCATGTGCGTTCGAGTCTTACAGGTGGACTCAACAGCTCATATTAAAGTAAAAAACATCTCTAGAAGACATGAGGTTTCGGTTGCCAGTTAAGGGCTTTCAGTGGTGCCAAGTACATTGCTATCTGCAGTCACATTTAAGTAGGGGTGTACTTTAAAAAATACTCCTCATTTCAACATGATATCATTCAAGTTTGTGACTACTTGTTAGGCCTTTCATCAGACATAAACATTCTTATAGATAGTGTGCTCTAGAATTAAATGACCTGAGCTCCCCAGTTCTGTTCTTGAAGGACTGATCACCTGTGTCGTATCAACTCGGAGTTAGGGATTTTTAAAAGTAATGAGGTAGAGCGGAGCATCTTTACCTCCCTCAACTTTTTCCTTTGCACTTGAGCTGTTCTGAGGTTAAACTGTGGGAAAGAAAGCTATATCTCAAATTTCAAGATCTTTGGGCTTGTTCTAATAAACTTCAAGATCTTTGGACTTGTGAATCACTATAATATTACAGAAAGTTTATTAGAACAAGTGTTCGTATTCCTGGATCCCCGTAACCGTTACTTTTTTACATCCAGGCAGTGGCCATTAAAGTGATCTTTACTGTAGCACTGGGAAGTTCCAATGCTTGTATGTTTACCATCATGTTAATGCTGTATTGGCGTTAACTCTGATTGTCCAGCTGCCCTTTATCTTGTTCTTGTTTCATGAAGCACAGTCCTTTTGTACCTTCTGATATGATATGCCATCTGACAACTTGCTCCTTCTGTCTTGTGCAACAAATATATCAACAGAATTGATTGGAAACGATGTATTTTAATCGATTCCCACTGGATTCTGTTTTCTTGCACTGTTTCACAATTACATTTTTGTGGGAATACTCTGTTTTCATTTGTTGTTAGAGGTGGAAGTGAGACCAAAAGTACAAATCAGTGTGAATCAAGTGCAAGGAGAAAAGAGCTCGGCTGCAGAAAATGGGCTAAATTAACATCAGGGTGCAAAGGAATCTAAGGATATGAACAGCTTCAGCGTGGAGATCAACTTGTGTGCTACTGGCCCTCATGTAAAGAGCTTTCTGTTCTCTGTGCACCCTCTGTTGCTTTGCTGAACGGTATTGCAAATGGGAAGACCTAGGAGAAAAATGGCACAAGGGCTATAAGTGTGTCTGTGTCTCAGGTTTCCTAAGATTGTTGTTGGTTTCAGTGAGATCAAACAAAGATTAATGGATGTATAGCTATCAGCGTGTACCTTTTTTCTTTGTTCTATTAATTCCTGGTTTCTTTATGTGCAGATTTCTGGGACAGTATAAAACTTAAACTTTGATACAGATGAATTGTGATCCTAATAGTATTTTTAATGGATGTAGATGGTTGAGGCATGTTTTATTTGCCCATATAATGGTAAGATTCTGTGCTGCAGTATATAAATGTTGTTTTTTTTTTCACTTCAAAAAGTTCTCAGCTACTCATGGGGTTAAAGTAAATTTCTGCTTACTACACAAGGATTACATTTAGAACAGCTTGTGCCGTGGAAAATATGGATTTTTAGATTCCAACTTCACCATTATACTTTGATTTTTTGCAACTGCCTCCACACAGATTTCTGTGCAAACACAGAATCAGGTGTCCAGCTGTGGACTTCAACCTGAGTCCTAGTGTTACTTCAGGTGCATTTTTTTCTTCCCTTCTTTTATGTTATTATGTTGTAGACTACCTTTTACCCCTTAGCTGTTTTGTGCAGTGGTCTAGTGTGGTACTAGAAATGCGCTTGCAGTCTACCTCATACATCCACCATTACAGTTTAGTATTGTTTTGGAGAACCAAGAAAGTGGGTAGGTGTGTTTTATTGATAAATTGTATGATGCTTAATTGTTAGATGAGGATAACAGTCTGTGTCTTGCCCTTTTGCTGTTTGTTCCTTATTAAAGAGACATTTTCAAAGTTTTCGAATATTCAGGTGCTTTCACAGTAATTTTTTTCTTGGATTACAAATAGATCAGTGTGCTGAATTGACTGTCAGGAATGGGAAACTATACCAGGCATAGACAAAAGGGATCAGTCCACTTAATGCCAAATTGAGCAAATGGGTGGCATGGTATGTAAGCGAAGAAAATAGCTATAGTGCTAAAATATTGTAATATTCTTTAGTTCAGTGTTTTTTTTTGTGGAGGAAAAAAACCACAACAGCAAAACCTTTCTAATTATTTTGTGTCTGTGATGATACGTGTAGCTTAGATTTTAGTTATAAGTAGCTGGTTGTTTAGTCTGCAGAAAAATCTAGATCCTGTGCTGGCTTTACCATGTCAAAAAGCTATACAGTAAGTTTAAATACTTTAAAGCGTTGCAGATACGGGGTAGAAATACCAATAAACCAAATGCTTACATTGGAATTTGGTCTTTTAGGAAGCTGCATTCTTGGACAAGTTTGTAAGTCTGAGTATTTCATTCCTGTCATCTATCAGCTGGGGGCTGCATTTGGTACTCTGAAATCCTTAGATGAAAAATACTGGAGGTATAAAAATCTATATGGTGAAGGTGGTAAATGCCGAATCCCAACAGAGAAGGATGCTGAACAGATTTCATGCTTGAATGTCTGTATGACTTACTATGGTGTGCTTGTTTAAGAACTGCAGGGTTGCATAAAGGAAGCAGTTAGAACAAAAATGTTGATTAACTTAGTATAAATGTGGAAAGTAAAATAAATATGACCATCTAAAGCAGTACCTAATTTATCAAAGGTGAACAGTTGTTTTCATCTCTCATTCTGCCATTTGAATTCTTTCTTTTTAATGACACTTCGACATCTTTTTTATAAATTATGGATATTAATATAATTGTGTTTACTTGTAGGTGGCTCTAACCAAGAGAGCTGATCCAGCTGAGTTGAAAACAATATTTTTGAAGGTATGTATAAAGTAAATATTTTACTCTTTCTGCTTAAATTTTTCATATCTTTTGCTCCTTTATTGCAGCATACAACTCTTGATAGTTTTTCCAACCATTAATCATTCACTGTATTATTACCATGTTAGACTTAAATACCATTATCAGAATTGAACAATGCTCACCAAGAAGTCAGATACATTCCTGAGTGATTATTGTATTGACTCAGATGAGGTATTACTATCTTAGAGAAAAAAAAAAAACCCACATTGTTCAGAGAATGGGGTGGGAGTTTCAGTATTGTTCCTACACGTGGTAAAATGTTAGTGCAGACACCTTGCTGTTAGACCATTTGGTAAACTTTCTTCTCCCATCCTTGCTGTCTTCCTTCCATCAGGGTTATTCCTGCTTCTTTAATTTGGAGAACTGTTGGGAATATCACCTTTTGAAATGGTGGATATACTTATTATTTAATTTAAATTCCTTTTGAGTTGAGTTGACCTGTTATAAATCACTTGTGCATTTGCTTGGAGAAGTGTATTACAGTGTTTTGCTGGTATGTGGCTTTCTTTGGCCTATTACCTAAATGTAAAGAAATCTTACCAAACCTTCTAAGATTTTATTACTACAGTGTCTGCACTAAATTGGTACTCTGATATAAAAAAAAAGAAGACTAAAATCGGGTTAAAAATCATAGAACCATAGAACAGTTTGAGTTGGAAGGGACGTTAAAGATCACTTAGTTCCAGTCCTCCTGGTGTGGGTAGGGCTACCAGCCACTAAATTAATATTTAGTGAGGTAAGTCCCGCAGTGCTACAGGGAGCCTCTTGTATCTGAATTATTTTTATGAAGGAGGAGAGTGCCTAAGGGAGCTAAATCCTTTCTAAGTTCCACCCTCCTCCTTCCATCTCTCTGTCATTCCCCAGACTCCCTGCACTTCTTGGCATATTTTCCATTGGCCCTTGTGATCTATTATTAACAATGTGTGTAGGTGTCTCTATGTATATAGTCAGTATTTATAGTTTTATCATATACTGTCAGTATTTAAAGCTCTGAAATGAGAATTGCAGTTGTGAAAGCTGAGATTTAACTTATTAAGCCCTGGAACTGCTATCTGTCAGGAGACTGAAAAGACTCTCGAAAAAGAATGGGATTTTCATAGGTCAGTGCTTGAAGAGCAAGACTAAGGCAACCCAAAATGCAGATGGAATAGACTTCTAGCTCAGGAAGATGGTAGTGCAGAAATAGTGCTGCTTGCTGAGGGGAAAAAAATGAATGAGTGCAGTATGTTGAGTGTGGTAAGCCATGGCCAGTGTTAATTAAGCTGTTTCAGATGAATGGTGGGGTCAATACAGTTGCTTCTGCAAACTGTGAGGCTTTCACTTATAAAATAACTTGACATCCATTTTTCTTTCTTCAATAAAGAGTTAAAAAAAAAAAAAAAAAAAAAAGATTCCCAAATAGAAATGGTGCCCGTTGTGTAGAAATTTATATGTGGCTAGCAGTATAATACAGCTGATATAATACAGCTGATTACAATGAACTTTTAGCATTTTTAATACATCAAAACCCCTGTAAAGTGTTTGCAGATCTTATTAAAGGTGGAGTTGAACTGGTTAATACTTGAGTATCTAAAAAGTATGGAAATAAGTTACCAAAAGCCATTAAGTACTATTGTATAATATCAAATTCTCTGTGGGTATAATTGCCAAAGTGGGGAAAAATACAATGTAAAGAACCATTTCCTAATACCTCTCCTCCAAAACCAATAGAATTGATGTTTTTCTCTTTTTGTTATGATAATTTCCAACAGTAAGTCTACTCTTTCTAAGTCTTCTACCATAACCCCTAAGAGATTAGATTTTAGTCAAAGTGATCAAGCTGACATTTTCCAAGGTCATTTTCTATATGTAGTATAGAGTACGTGATTGGATTTCAAATACATTTGAGTAAATCACAATGACAAGAAACAGGGGGACACTGAAACCTTGTGCTGTTTTCTGTTATTGAGTGCCCTAGCAGGGGGTTAGCCTGGAAGAAAAAAATGAAATATAGAAGCATAGACTGTCTGACTTATTTGATTTGTTTCTCAATAGCAGCTGTGTTAAAAGTTTTTGAGGCTGGGTTTCTGAAAGATTCTGTCTCCCTGCAAATGATTACATTGAAATCAATTGATCTGCTAGTTCTTATAAAAGTATACAATTGAAAATTCCTTGCAGTATATCAACTAGAAAGCTTGCGATAGAAACAGTGTCTATTGAAACACGAGTCCGTAAATGCTAACCGATACATAGATGCCAAAGCAAGTTATGTATTGTTTGGGCTTGCTTCCCTGAAGTCTGAATCCTTGAAGATATTGTTGTACCTGAAGACTGTATTTATATAGCACTAGAAGAAAATAATCTACTTACTGTTACACTTTGGCATCCCTCTGAGAGTGATATGCCTACTGCAGCTATACCGTACTCTGCAGGCACCAGTGCAGCTCTGAAATGAAAACTGGCAGTTCCTGCCCTTAGCAAAGGCTCAGGAACAAACATGAAACAAAACATGTCTTTGAAGTGTGCTACAAAATATCAATAGGCTTCTAATGTAGTTAGAAGTATCATCAGTATGGATAATGCTCTGTGGGCAGCTTCAACAATGGTTTATTATCCTATCTTAAAAATGCTAAAGGAATGAGCAAGTTCCTTTGCTGCTCTTGGTGCTTGTTCACTATCCTGGGAAAAGTATTTAGGGTTGATTGGAAATTTACCTTTCAGCCGAAAATGAGGGCTTCAAAATTTGAGGGCTGAAAAAGGAATCAGGGTAAAGGTGATGCAAAAGGCAGTGTTATTTATTTATTCATTATTTTCAAAATAATTTAATATCAAGAAAAAGGAATATGTAATTTGTTCCTGGAAGCGTATCTTGTGAGCAAATACACTTAGGTATGCATATTGAGTGCTGTTTCTGGAGTAGAATGCCAGTATAGCATAGGCTACTATATATTACAGGTGTGTGGTGAGGTCTTGGACCCCTCTTCTTATTTCTGCGTAGTGCTAAACTGCCATGTCGAAGTTCTTGCATTTTCTTACAGTTTCCTGCTAACTGCTGCTCTCTGACTCCTTCGGTTCAGCCGTGGAGGAATAGCTGTAGGTTCTCCTTCACTTAGGGGCCACCTGCAGCTGAATCCTCTGCGCTGGAGTTGCTCCAAGATAGCACCCCCACGTGGATGCTCCTGTGGGATCGTTTACTCCATGAGCACAACAAAGTTGTTTCTTGGCTGTAAACCCATCTTGTGCCAAAGTAGAGGTGCTACACAGAGTCATTCTAGATAAATATAATACTCTGGAGTATTCCATGACTGTTAAAGCTGCAGTGGTCCTGAAGTGCCATATACATATTTGCAAATGCACGTGTGCTTCTTATTGTACTTCAAAACAAAAAATGTAGAGAATTGCTGTTGTGATGAGCAAACAATCATGTATTTGCCACTATTCTGCCTAGGGAGCCAAGCCTTCAGCTGTTTGAGTACTTGCTGCTTACTCTGTTTCACTGTAGGTTTTAATTTCTTCAGAGCAGGTCTGTCCTTACCTGCAGTAAGCGTGGTCCGTGTTACAAGCTATGGGTTGGGAATAATGCCTGTGCAGTGAGAACCTGGAGCAAGATGCGGTTGTGACACTAAATACTGCGTTCATTTGACAGTATGCGAGTGTGGAGAAGAATGGGGAATTCTTCATGTCTCCTAATGACTTTGTCACACGGTACCTGAAGATAATTGGGGATGGTTTGCCAAATGCAAACACTGTTCAGCTCCTTGCAGGTGTGGTGGATCAGACAAAAGATGGGTAAGTTTTCTGGTGTTTTTTTCTTCTCTTCTTCTTTTTTTTTTTTCTTTCTTTCTTTCATTGTTGTTCATTTAAAAAACACAAAGCCATTCCTTTGAAAACAAGGCTGGTGATTATTTTGGTTTGGTTTGGATTTTTGTTTGTGGGTTGATTTTTTTTATTTTTATTTTTAATTTTTATTTTATTTATTTATTTTTTTTGTTGTTGTTGTTTTGCCTGCAAATATATAATGGAATTACAGTATCTTTTAAGTGGAAAGAGTAGAAACAATGTTTTGGACTTCACGCAGCATTTAGCTGAGCAAACCATTTTCTCTCTACTATGTATTTTTAACTCATTGAACCTTTCATGTTTGTTGGCTGGCTCCTCTAAGTCTTGTTTCCATTTCCTTCCACGAGTCTTTCTGTCTCTGTTTACTCTATGTATTTGTCACAAACACATTCAAATAGCAATCCAAAATAAGTTTAGATCATGTAGGAAGAAAGAGTACAAAAAAGTGCCTCTCCTTAAATTTGTTGCAGCATTAATAAAAGTTTTTTTCCATTTTCCCTCAAGAGGGAGGAAGAGCAACAGAGGTATTTAGAGAGCCACTCCTCAGTCCTGGGAAGACAGCAGTGAGGTTTGGTGGCACATGGTTTGCATTTGGAAGGCTGACTCTGCCAATAGGCAAGACTAGCTACCCCTCTATCTTCCTCCCCACTTTTTAAATGAAATCCTTGCTTTTGCTTCTGGTACTTGCCCAGGCAAGCTGTCTCTTCACCCATATGAATGTGTATTTTGAACACTGCCTTAAACGTATCTTTAAAGAAGAAACTTCAAAATAATTAGCTGTGGACTTAAAGTCTGTAGTTGTGGCATTTTTAGAAACCAGAAAACTTCAGGCATGACTCACATCAGTGATTACAGAGAGTAAAATGTGAGATAAATAACGTATGACTAGAAAATGCAGGCTTAGAGAACAGATGCATGTATAACCTAGGGCTTTGGTGATAGTTTTTTCTCTTTCCTGTTTAGGCAGCGTCAGGTATCTGGCAGCTAGGTTCCTTTAACTTTGTAGGCAAGTTAATGTAATGACTGTTATCCCTGATAAAAGAATTCTGTAAGAAATCACCTTGGTTATATTGGCATAACGGGAGCAAGAAGATGGTAATTCAGATTGTGTTTGTCTGAAAACGTTAAACATTTCTCAGATTTCTTCCTTTGGTTTGATGACTGTAAAACTGCATTTTCTGGCTTGCACACATTCAGATCCATTTTGTAATAAGAAGCCTGTGAGTATAATCTCTATCTTCATTTGGACCTCCCTTACAAGCAGAAGCTGATGTCAGAGGGAGCAAAATAGAAAACTGTAGCGTATGTGAACTTGTTGATGGATTGGGATTTTGTAACTTGGTGTGATCTTGCAGGAGTTGGGCATTTTTGCAGTATAATGTTGAAGCTTCTAATTGCTCCTTTCTGCCACAGGTAAGAATTGTTTCTGCAGGCCAGGCTGCAGTGATAGCTGGCTGCATGTTTGTATCGTGACTTTGGAGATTCTTTTTTAGTATTCAGGTTGTCGTCTTGTTTAGCTGCTGTACTTCTGTGTAAAAAAGTGGAGAAAGTTCAGAAGGCGATTAGTGTTCGTCTCGCTAAGCTGGCCCTGTAGCATTTTTTGCCATGTGACCAGGCATTTGTGTCTTTTGCTGGTGGCACATGAAGTAATTCTTAGAGTGATCATCTGAAGCAGGGGCACTTGTTTCTTATTGCTGGAATGAAATCCCCTCAGAACAGCAACAAGACCTGTTGGCCTTCTCTTGCTGAATGCTTTCCAGCTTGGCAGTCCAGAGGTTCTGGTTTTAAAGCAGAGCAAAAAACTGCTTTTGTTTGTTCTCGTTTTACTAGGCTTGTCGGTGTTTTAGAGATGATGATAAGGTCATGAAAGTCTGCTCAATAGTCTGTGTCGATTCTTGGTAGAAAAAAAAGGAGACTTGCAAAAGCAGTGGCAAGTGAATTTTGTTCTACTGCTATGTTATTTCTAGAAAGATATGTGCTACTAGAAATTGGATCTTTGCTTCTGTTCTAAAGAAGCATCTGTTCTTCAGATTGGTGAACGCAACCCGCAGCAGAATCTGAGCCCAGAATCACCAGGGTTGTTCCTACCTACGTATCTAAAATGCTTTTTAATTTCTTCTAGTTCTACTGAGATGTAATGTATAGATACCAAGTGTAGTCAGTGAGAAATACTGAAATCTGGAACTGATAAAGGTGACAGGCAGATGGCATGAGAGCTACTGACTCATTAGCAGAGCTAATAGATGTGCAGGGGGTTGCTTAGCCCCTTGAAGAATTGAAGAAATCCATGGTGCGAACTGTGGATATGAAAATGAACTTTTCTTATACTTAGCACATTTTTAGCAGTTAGTAGGTACTGTAAATTCTGTGGCATTGAAATAGAACAGAGTAGGTAGATGAAGTGGACACAACATTGGTATTTGCTTCTTGTGGGTTTTTGGGTTTTTTTTTTTTGTTGTTTTTTTTTTGCAGGGACCTGAACTAGAATGAGAAAATTGCAAGCAGAGAATGTGCAGATTTTTTTACATGCAATCTCACTGTGGTTGCCATGGACAAAATCTCTTGTGTAGCTCCAGCACAACTCCTGCACTGGCAAAAAATTGAAGAGTTTCACAGAAATTGCTGTTGGTGTGACAAAGAGTAAGACCTATAAAGGCAGACTCTGACATTCTGTGAATATCTGTTGCCATGGGAGCAAGTTTTGTCTCCATCTAAGGGTGCAGAAATATTTGCAGGTGGGCTTATCTTCTTGCCTTTTACTGGGGTGTCTTTTAAGGTTTTCCTTAAGGAAAGGAAGTGCTTTTCTTGCTGATGGCCAGAGAAGCATTTCAAAGCAGTGGGTCAGTAATCACACAGATTTTTAAAGAGCCATTTATCACGTGGCTGTAGGTTGTATGAAACAGATTTAAAAGCCTTGACTGGTTCATAGTCTTAAGTTTCTCATTCCTACTTAAAAAAAAAAAAAAAAAAAAAAAAAAAAAGCAGCTTAATTAAGATTCATCTGAGCCTTAAAGTTACCTGAAATACTGTGGCTTTATCAAGGCCTATCAGCATCAGGTGAGCCATTTGCCATCTTGCCTACTGTATGTATTGCTTTTCTATCTTCTGTTGTACTTCTAAACATCTATCTAACAAAATAAGTATTTACTCCTTATCTCTGTTTGGACTGTACTAACACTTTACTGAGAAATACTCTGTGCTTTATTTTTAGAAAGGACAAACTATTCAAAAGTAACACTTGGAAATACCAGCATTTACCGTTATTACTGAATATAAATTTATCCCCTAATGCACCCATTTACGCTGTACTTAGTTTACCTAGGTTGCAGCATAAAATAATAGGTGTAGCTTCAATTTGTGTCCTATTATGTTATCATGTTCACATTGCTGATGCAGTAGAAATATATGCATTGATTTCTGAAGAAATCTCATCACTGCATTTGTATGTATTAGAGCAGTAGGTCATGTTTTTTTTTTTTGTTTTTTTTTTTTTTTCTTTGTATGGCTGCATGTGGGCTTTCTCTGGTAGAAATGCATTACATCTGTGTGGTGTCCAGATACTGTGGGCATGAGGACCAAAACAAGTTTGGGAGAAAGGAGAGAGTAGTATATAGCAGTGATGTCACACCAAACACGTCTGTTGTGTTTGGCACGTTGCTCTCATCTGTGGATAAGTTCTAAAACATCAGTGTTTCAGTCTTCACGAGTAAACATTGCAATCTTGGCACTGTTAATGAGAGCATGAAGGTGAAGAAAGACTTGACTGGTTGGGTAGGATATCTTCAGTGCTGAAGTAAAAATTTGGGAAACAGTTTGGCTTCCTCTCTTTGCACTGTTAAAATGAATAGGCTTTTCTCTGCTTTTGTAACATAAATGAGCACTTGTTTATGTAGGTAAAATAACTCTTAAGTAGTATATTGAAGTCCATGTTAATATGTGCTGTTTAATGACACCTAATGGTATTCAGTGAAGGGTTATGATAAACCCAAAAGGGTGATGCTAAACCAGAGAGAAAATGTGTTACCCAGGCAACTACCCTTGTGCAGTATAGAGAAGTGAGCATATGGCTATGTAGTACACATTATTTCAGCATCTTTAAGCATTAAGAATCACAGATGAAATTGACTGTGAAAAATTACTGCTCAGTTACTGTATTGTATGGTCATAATAGAAGTAAATGAATACGTCATTGTTGTTAGAATAGATCTGTTGGGAATCACTAGCAGGCTAGTCTACTTACAGAGCAAAAATACAATAAGAAGAAAATAGCTGGTTTAATTAACACGTAAAAATTGGGTTAATTTGAATTCAGCTGGCGCAGCAGATATTAATGTCTCTTCTTTAATAGTGGGGCAAGAACCACGCAATTTGTACACTTTTAATCTTCCTAGGGCTATGAGTAATTGCTTTTAAAAAATGAATATGAGGTTATTCTCATCATCTCTCCCTGACTTATTAGAGGGGGCTTATTACTTGAAAGAGCTGACAAAGAATGCTTCTAACAGTATAAAACCTTGTAGCTGTGTTAACGCTTGGAGTTAATCAGTTCCAGGTGTAACAGCATAGAATATGCTCTGTTGGGATTCTGCTGGGAAAGGTGCTGTGTTTCAGTGTTGTGATCACTGCGTGTGCTGGGATCTGTTAGTAAGGACATACGTTGGTTGTTGTTTCACACAGAAAGCAGCTTTATCAAATTGATGTTGGCAGGTACTTTACATTCTAAACAATCCTTTTCTAGAGTCTTGTTGCCTGCTATTTTGTTCATAATCTTTGGGACAGAAGCACTCAGTTCTTTGTTTACTGTTGTGGAAGTTGTCAGGTATGTAACAAATAATAATGGATAATAAAGAGCTTTTATAACCTCCAAGTTTCATAGTAGCAGCGAATGTGTGTAAATGCAAAAATGTGTAGGTTGTGATGTATAGGATTAAATTTGAATGAAAAATTACTTCTTTTTTTTTCTTCTTCTTTTTTTTTTTCCCAATCCCTTTGGCTCTGGAGGAGGTGGAAGTTTTTTGCCATTTGAAGATTGTCTGCATGACTTAGCAACCTGCCTGTGTGATGACGTGCACTTATGTAGCAAGTCATTGGCTTCTTTGCCGATAAAATTTAAGGCATGCTTATATGTGTGCTGTCATCATTACTTGTGAATGTAATATCAAGAAAACCTGAGGAGGTTTCTTCTTTATTTTTCTTGCTGCATAATGATCCATGGTGACAACTTCCCAAAGTTAATTATTTGTTAGAATATTTCTGACTCTGTTTCTTTCGCTCCTATTTGGTGTCTGTATGTTGAGGGGGGTAAAGTAGAACAGCTTTTTTGACCATTTCTTAATCGTGCTTTTTTTAATAGTACCTACTTGATAGTATTCATCTTTTCATATTTGCCTGTTCTTCATGGAAATCAGCTTTTGTTACCCTGTGGATATGTGGCTGCTGACAGCAAGCACACTGCTCTGTGACTTAAAAGAATAATTCCCTTAAGGCAGGGTGGCTGGAAATCGCAGTACAGTCATGGGTCAGGATGACTCAGTGGGATGGATGTCTTTTCCAGCCTCTTCAAACAGTTTGTTCTTCCCTGTTATTGCATACTGAGTGGAAGTTCTCATTGAACCAGCTGCAGTATCATTTTGGGTAGAAGTCCCAAGGCTACAGTTAGTTTCTAAAGAATAATAGTAAAAATTTTGCTCTTTTTCTTATGTGAGTTTCTCATCGTTTGTTATGTGGAATTCTGTGCATCTCAGAAATAAGTCTTCATCCCCAAGATGCAGCCATGTGAAGCCACTAAAGCTACACACTTACTGCACTGCCATAGAACTGCACAAAGAGAGGGCGACCTTCAACATCTCAGACTGCCAGCAGGCCCTGCAGCCACACATTTGAAGATGGTTTTAAACTGTGCAACCTAATCATTAAAAAAGTAGCAAAGCAGGAGGATGGTTAGCTTTTGTCCCTTTAAGAAAAGGAGTTTGAGCTCCATTTAAACTCCTGGGTGTAACCCGGAGAAATTGGAACTGCTCAAGGCCTTTGCTGTATCAAGTCTTCTGCTGGAAACAATGCCAAGTTGTCTAATTATATATTTCTAGTTATTAACAATCTTAAGGAAAGGCACCTCTGCTTTTATCTGCTCTGCTAATGCACTTGCTTATTGGGAACCTGGCTATGATGATGAATTTGAATAAAGTGCTCTTGGGCAGAGGAAGAATGTGCAGACTGCTGCTTGAAGATCTGTGACTCAACTTGCAGTACTTGAGGGCTGTGAGAGGTGATTAATAAGTTAGTTAACATAACATATTCAGATCAGCTCCTTGAGAAGTGAGTGGCAATATGTAGGTCTTGAATGGATTTGCCTTTGGAAAGCCTGAAGCACTGAATCTGAAGGGAGGTTGTTCAAATCTTGCCCATGAAATGTGGTGGACTCCCAGGAGGGCAGTTCAGTTGGACATGAAGGCTGTGGCCCATTGCCACATGGAGCACATGGGCTTATTTTTGTTCTGTTGTGATTTGCAAAGCACAGAAATTGCTTGTTGACCAATTTGTTTCCATCTAGTAATGTTAGGGCTGCTAACAGTGTTGGTATTGGGGCATTTTAGGATAAGTTTTAATCCTTGTTGATGACAATTTCTATGTATTCTCATTGTGATCTTAATTCTTCTGTGTAATCTATATTACGTTGCATTTCAGGTCTCTGCAAGCAAGTTGTTTCATAGCTCTTGCGTTTTCCTTCCTCCTTTAGGTTGATATCCTTCCAAGAGTTTGTGGCATTTGAATCAGTCCTGTGTGCTCCAGATGCGTTGTTCATAGTAGCCTTTCAGCTATTTGACAAGACTGGCAAAGGAGAAGTTACTTTTGGTAAGAATGGTCTTAAATGTGCACTCTCAATTTAGAAATTCCTACTTATGTCAAACTGTTTAACCTTCTGTTACCATAGGAAACACAGCAATTGGTAATAGAACTATCCTTCTGCCAAGTAGGATTCTGGCTGAATTTCTATAAATCACATCCATGTGTATATTACAAATTCAAGGTCGTGGTCTTCTTCATGGTTTTCTCTAGAGAACTGGTCACTTCTTCTTTTCCCCAGCATGCTTGTGCATGTCTTCAGAACAACAGTGAGAGGTGGCTATAGGAAATGATTGTAAAACCACAAAGAAGTTGCCAGAGGACATGGGTGAATGTTGAGTCTGAAATTACTGTGAATTATTTTTTGTTTAAATTGGCTGTGTTGCAAGCTGTCTTCCTCTTAAGGCTTAAAACTTTCGTCTGTGAGACTTTTCAGCAATAAATGCATTGCTACCCTACAGTAAACTCAGCTATGCATTGGAGGTGTGGTATTTGCACAGACAATGTGACGTATACTTAGGCCAGTGTAAAATAGGAGTAAGAGGCTGTTTATTTTAGACACCACAGAGAAGTTTCTGATATCTGCAGAAGTATCTGCTGCCTCCTAGGAGGAAGGATGGTGCTGTCTGGAAGAAATATTAGAAAATAGTGTTCTTAAATAACTTCAGGTATTGAACTGCTTTTCAGAAAGTATGGAAGACTTGTTTGACCCTAAATACTTATGTTGGATAAAATTTCTACTTCTTATCTGTTACATTTGGACAGAGTTATCCATCTGCCTTAGGTTTGTTGAATTGTTTATTAAACAGCTTGAAATAAAAGGTAGCTGGATGATGGTGACTCTTGTCTTTCCCATCTTCCCCTGTATGGTTCACATGCCCTTTGTCTTTTGCTGGTATTGCCCCACATATACCTAGCTTAAAAAAAAAAAAAAAAAAAGAAAAAAACAATTGCATATTCTCAGATCATTTAAACTGATAAGATCTACTACTGTTCCTTGAAGCATCATTTTCTTCCTTCTACCATCTCCAAAAATCTACATTTGAAGTTGTGGCCGTTGAAAAGGCTTGATGTCTTTTCTTGTGTCTGTTTTGATTTTTCATTATTTTGATTTTTTGTTGAGTTAGTTGAAGCTGTGTGTTCTGTGTGCAATACTGCTTGTTAGAACAGCTCTTAAAAACATGACTGTAAATGCTAAAGGATTTGAAAGAATTTCAGAAAAAGAATTCTGCTGTTTCTAACCTTGATGAAGGAAGTATTTTGTGCCTAACAGTATTATTCATGTGTATGAACAGAGAGACGAGAAACAGCATGCTTTTAAATCAGGAGGGTCCACATATTTAGTAATGGTTTTGTTCCAGTGCAGACAAACCAGTGTTCCTGGAATGCCTGTGATGTGCAGGTTCTTGTCTGTGTCAGAGCCCCCAGTTGCTTGGAGCACTTGTTAATAATCTAAGAACTGTAGTTGTTTGATCTGAATGCTGAATCAGTCCAACTTAACTTTTTAACTTTTGGCATTCTTCTTCATATTTTTCCTGCTGGTAAATGCTTCCCTTGGGGTTAGACACAGTGAGTCAAGGGATTTGTTTGGCATTTGAAACTCGTTGAAGTCTTTTTAGTGATGACAGAAACTTTTATGCCAGGCTGTATTTAAGGTATTTGAAAAAGAAAGCATGCCAACGTTGGCAGAGCCTCAGATGTTTTTTTTCTTTTCCTTTTTTTTTTAAATTCCTTCCTCTCCCACTGTGAAATCATAAAAAGTATCTGTAACTTCTGCACAGTATTGGGTAGCTTCCGCCCTAGAAGAAGGATGTAAGAGCTGTCTCAATGTTGTTCGTTCTCAGCAATACCAATTGACCTTTAGATAAAGCTAGTGTACGTTTGCTATTGTAAGGAAGAAGTTGTTTTCCTCGCCATTATGAAAAAAGCTAACATTTTCACAAATGAACAATTACAATACTGCCCTTTAACTTTGCTGCTCAGTACCTCAGTCATGCACCTTTGAGGTTAATTATGAGATCTTTTTCCATTAACTTGAATGAGAGTAGGATCAAGTCCTTATCAAGGTTAGGAGACTTAAATAGGGGTTTTATGTACTGTGGAATTACAGTGTGAAAGGAAAAGGAGAAAAGGGAGAGGATCATTTTTCACTGCTTCTGTGATGTATAATATCTCAAGGATCCCATTCTTAGTGTGCATCTCATTTTACTGCTGTAAAGAAACAGCATGGCTTATCTTTGCAGTCGCTGTTTTTCTGTGTACTGAGAAAATGGTGTAAATATTTTAGCTTATACTGGATGGAATGCAGGGCTTTCCGGCTGTGAACTTCACTAGGCAAATCATCCAATTTGTATTCTTTCACAGGTGCACTTAGCTTGATACCTTTGTAAAACAAATTCATAATGGGTTTTGCATCAGTGATCTTTTATACTGACTGCCACGTTCAGGCTGTAGATATTTAGGGAAATGTTCTGAGTAAAGAAGTTTTACCATTTAGTATATTATACTCTTATTGAAAAACACTGTATTCTTGCTTTAGCTTCTGAGTTGGAAATTCCTTTGCATTCTAGCCATATGTTGACATCTGTACAATTTCAAATGTTTCAAATGTTTCAACTTACAAGTTAACTGTATATAGTTCTTTTGACAGAGCTGGCATCTATTTCAGAGGTCTGATCTGCAAGCAGTATGTATATGTGGTAGAGGTGGGGCAGGCTGGAAAGTATTTCTAGTTTATTACTTCAGTGAGATGAATGAAATGGTCAAGAGTAAATTAGTAGCCAGTGGCTGACTCAGTCTACACCTGGCTGTTGCATCATATTGTAGATTTATCTGCTGCTGAAGTGTCAAAGCTTTGAGAGTTTGCAAGGAGTTAAAGCTCTCAGCAGGAAAGTGGGAGGAAGTTTAGCTGGCTTTTAAATTTGAGGCAAAGAGCAAACCATTGCTTCTTACTGTTGAGTGTTGACAGGCACATAAAAGCTGATAATATAAGTCCAGGGGTTTAAGAGACTTAGTAGAGTTGCTTTTTTGTCGTATGACTGTATTTTAATGCCTCATTAAAGAAGGAGAGCCCTTTGAAATGCTTTACTAGATGGTATTTAAAAAGAACCATGAGAAGCTTGGGTAAAAATGTCAGTGTTTAAAAACTAAGTTGTCTTAACCTTCATCTTTAATTTTGAATAGATAAATGAAATGATGACAGGTAACAATTCTGAGCAGTGAATAATACAGAAGTGATATCTGTGGACTGGAACTTTCTCGTATACAGGTTTTCACAGCCCTAATGAACCAAAAGGAACCTTGTCCACATTGGTTTTTCTCATAGAGAAAGGAAAGGTAGAAAAACGAAAGTGATTGCCTGAGACTGTGCTGACAACCAGCACTAAACCCTGTGTTAAAGATGTTCATTGATTTGTTTTGAAGTAAATTTTCCCACCAAGCAAAAATTCTTACTCTCTCGTAATTTTTGAAATGCAGCTGTGGTGCAGTGTGTGGTTTTCCAGTTTATTTATTTATTTTTCTAAGTTTTCTAATTCAAACTGAAGCTGTTTCAAAATGGATGCTGTGTGGTGCTGCTTTGGGAAATACGAATATGCCTTAAAACAAGTTGGTCTTTTCACTGAAAAGGAAAAAGCAACAGAAACCACCCCAAACAGCAAAAAAAGAGGGAATAGAGAACCCAAACTCTAAATTGTTGCTTATCTTAACAACTGTGGAGCTGAGCAATGTGTCTGTTTTTGTCTCATAACAGAACTCTATTAACGTGTAGACAGCAGCTATTGTGTATCTCTGCTTCTGTTATTAATTATAGCAGTACACATTTCTTAGAGGAATGAATAAATTAATGATGCATCTCACTAAGCACTCCTGTTTGCATATGTTACTTGAATTGCCTGAACGCTTGTTTGTAAACTGTAAAAACATATAGCTCCTAACTGAGGTTTATGTATACAGCTCTTCTGATGATCTTCGGAGGTTTTGCTCTGTAATAATGCTCTGACTCTTTCAACATGTTAAGAATTATTACAGGAGTCTAATGGTTGCTTTCCTAACTAGGATTAGGTTCAGATTTTGTGAACCTGCTTGCTCTTGTTACAGAGGATTATTTATGCTTTGCTTGATATGACCTGGCTCTTCTTATGGGATTTATAATTGCTTATGCAATACCTGGCTTGCCAGTGTCCAGCTCAGTACACTCAAAACCATGTAAAGCAAAGAAAAGTGAAATCTGAACTACCAGCGTAAATTGCTGAGGCTCTAAATTTTGATCATTTGTTGAATGGCAATATTCAGTAATCCTCAGTGAGGTTTCTGTTGCTGGTTCAAATTAGTTTGAAACGTTCTGTAGCTCATGATGTGCTAGTTTACACTACACAAGGAAACATCTGTTGGTTTATAACTGATGGTTGCCAACATATGATGATCCCAACAGCAGCGTTACCTACTGCAGTGTTACAGGTGTAAACTGTGTTTAGTCCCTAATATCTTTTGTTGTTTCCACTGCGTTTTGCACAGATATGTCTGTTTCTAAAAAGAGTATTTAGGGAAGGTTTGCAAGTATATGTATTCTTCTGAGCAACCTTTGAACTCTACTTAACACTATTTTCATAGAATTTAATTTCTAAACGTATGTCAGCTTGGCAGGTTTCTCTTATTTTGTTTTCTTTTATCTAACATGTTACGTAACTAGGCAGACTTCCATAAAGGCATCTTCAGTTAAAACAAAGCATATTACCAAGCGAACCTGTCTTTTTAAATACCAGGGGAAGTTCCATCTTTTCATGCATTAGTGTTTCATTGGGTCTAGGGATACAAATGAATTTTCTAAGTCACCTTTAACTGATATTTTGTATTTTGGTTTAATCTTTCTTGTTCGCATTTTGTCTTTTTCAATTAAAATAGCCTACTGACAGATAGCTGATTGAAGACTGAGCATATCTCATGTGCAAAAAACAAGGGATGGTCACAGAATCACTAGCTAGTTCAGGTTGAAAGTGACAGTTTTTTTC